GGCGAGTAAGGCGGCGTAAGCAGTCCGGTTATTATGTACATGCGATGACGGCATCGCGAACACCTTACGGATATTCTTGGTGAATTTAATTCAACGTGGTTACTGCGTAAATGCGGCACATTACGCAATTTACGTTAATGTTTGGTCGTAGCTTAGGACCAGGTCACAGGAAATGATACAGAGACACGGGTTTCAGAGACACGGGTTTCAAATAAAATATTCTGGATCAACAGGACATGTCACAGGTGAGATTGTGCATCCATATGTCTTTATTTAGAGCACCCAACAAAAGCTGTTGGCTTCGCTTAGAATAAACCACTTAGCTAGCTAACTAGCTAGTATACAGCAGTAGTTGTTTTAAAAAGTGCTCTATAAATACAGTTGAGTTGAGTTGAGGTTGTGAAAGACAAGCCATCAGAGGATCCCAAAACATGGCTACAGTGAGCACTGAAGGGCAAAACCCAACAGGTACATTCATTTGTAAAAGTAGAGACAAAAAATATTTTGCATGCCAACTCATCCGTTAACCTTGCTAAATTGTTGCCCAGGGCATACGAAAAAAATGGCCATCAGGTGACAGTGGTGCAAAGGTCCACCAGGATCATGCCGCAGAAGTAGTAGATGGGCGTATGTGGATTGTGGATTACTGGATTGGAACATTAGCAACTAGCAACGATCGAGAAAAGGAAACAACTAACACTTGAGGATTATTTTTTTCGGTATAAAAGCGTCCTCGAAACAAAACAACAAAGGAGATGGTGTTTGTGTGGAAGAGAAGATGACGCTTCGGTCACGTAATCGAAAGCAGCACCCGTCAAACGACGGCCTGCGCAAACATCGCGTGCTACACGCGGCCCGCATAGCTCACGCCGAGTTTCGAGTTCATCTGATGAAGATGAACATGCTCCACGTCCCAGACCAAAGCTTGGCAGAGCATTTTGTGCCAGCGATGACGGCAAAGAGGCTGCATGTGGCCGACGCCGGGCACACGTCAGCGATTCACCGGAATCGTCTCGTAATGGCGACGGCGAAGATGATGAATTGTAGAGCGATTTGGATCCGGATCTGTCGGACGAATAAGTGCCTTCGGACATAACGGAAAGCAGCTGAGAGTCCTCGCCAGAGCCGCTGGAACGAGGAGGTAACTGCTGACGAGTTTGCAACTTCCCATTCAAAACTTCATCACTTCTTATGCCTCATCAGTTAGTTTTATGCACCGCTCCATTCCCCTCTACAGTATAAGGGTGCCAGTAACACTAATCATTTATGTATGGTTGATGCGTCTCGTAGATGTGGATGAAAATATGTGCCGTATATGTGCTGACTTGCGTGTCGCCATAGATTGAAAACAAACAAACAAAAAAAACAGGACACATTTGGTCCGCTCAGCTCTGCAAAAACCACTAGTGTTAAATAAGATAAGATAAGATATCATTTATTTTTCCCACATTGGAAAAATTTACAGCCTTCAGCAGCAAGATTGTGGGTAGAAAGAGAAAAGAAAACAGTTCAATTAAGTGCAATATAAATACAAATATGGATAAGGTCAATAAGTTCAATTAAGTGCAATATAAATACAATAGTCACAGTACTATTCACATTCACATTTGTTGTCATATAATTTAAATAGTTTTATGATTTATTTATTTATTCATTTTTTATTCAGCAGCCTGACAGCAGTCGGTAGGAACGAGCGGCGGTATCTCTCCGTCTTGCAACGCGGGTGTAACAGTCTCTGACTGAAGGAGCTACCGAGTGCTGTCAGGGCGGGCTGGAGGGGGTGGGAGGGACTGGAACAAATTCATATTCCATTTCATTTCAAATTGGATGCTAAGCAATGTGGAATCAATGGTGTAAATAGCAGTGTGTGAACATGTATACGTGTGTGAGAGATGTTGAAATGTAAGTGTATAGCAACAATAAAAAAATAGACAAATACAAGTGTGGTAATTGTACATACTTCTATAAATTACAGATTGTCCAACCAGAAGCCAAAAGATGACGACTCCTTGCTTTGGTGGTGGAAAGAAAGGTAAATAAAAGTATTCCACCTCACTCTGCAGCAATATATATTTGCAACTTTTTATGTTTCTATAATTTATAGGTCGTGCATCTGGACGTGGTGGGGATGAATCGATGTGGCGACAAACTGGATGGAAGCCATAAACCATCCTCTTCACAGCTGCACTTTCGTTCATTCAATTTGCATGTTTGTTCATAGTTCAATAGTTTTGTTTTGTGCAAATAAATTATTTTGCGATAAATACATTTTTTGTAATGTTGTTTTGTCGGAGGAACACCTTATTGAGGTATTTGAGCTGTCACAAAAGCGTAAAACTTGAAATGATGCTTGAAATGCATGCTTTTACAAAAAGCTCATTTTCTCTGGATTTCTGAAGAAAATCTTTGCAATTTTCTGATGCTGATTGCCAACGAACGATAGAAAGATAGAAACAAACTTTTTTTTTTCTGCTGAAAGAAGAGAGAATAACCTTTCTTTTGACAGTTGCATGTTTATATAGTCGTAGAACAGAAAATTCTGTGGGCCTTGCAATCAGTCAAAATTCAGTAAAATGTGAGGGATTGAGGGGGTTGCTCCAGTGAAAAGGGGTGGTATTCAATGAGTTAATAGTAATGATGCACTTTTTTAATGTCAAATGTCAGTTGACAGTTTTTTTTTTTTGGGCTGTTTTTTCTGTTCCGAGGGATGTTTCGCAATAGCTTTGTATAACCAGCAATGTCGCAATAACTCGCAATAACTTTGTATAACCAGCAAGGTCATAAAAAAGATGTTTATGATGTTGAGCAAAGCCCTTTGTTAAGAACGAACGCTTAGAGTATAAAAGGAGAACTTTGGATACTCTTGGTAGAGTCTGCTGCGGGTTGCGTACGGACGCCCAGCTGGTATTGAAGCTCGCTCTACCTGGGGTGTTGGCTCTCCATCCTATTGACGCACGGTAAGAGCGGGGTACTATTCTAAGAGCTTGATACACTGATATTTGCTTGTTTGACATATTCTGTGGCGCTAATAAACGTGCAATTTGTTAGTAGCAGATTTGTCTCTTGTGCTATTGAATGATTGTGTGACATATTCTGTGGCGCTAATAAACGTGCAATTTGTTAGTAGCAGATTTGTCTCTTGTGTTATTGAATGATTGTGTGACATATTCTGTGGCGCTAATAAACGTGCAATTTGTTAGTAGCAGATTTGTCTCTTGTGATTCATTTCTGAGTGCCTATCTCCAACGATCCTATTCTAAATTTGATACTGAGCCAGGGCGAGGTATCAGAAATGT